TCACTATGGGCAAGGCCTACTATATTCCCCAATTTAAAGCACACTGACTGAAAATTAAACCTGTATCATCTGCTTCCACGTTAGCGCAAGCTTAGGTTTTTAAAACAAAATCGCAAAAAACACGTATTTTTGGGCCTGCTACACTAGGATGCCCCCTTAATTTAATTTCGGATGGAAAAAAATCTGCACCACAAGCTTATAAACTTTCATTAAATGGACTATCTCCCGAAAAGCATTTTTGGTACATTTGTCAATAAAATTAGTTCCTCATCCACTGGAGGTATATTTCTCAACACAAGGGATGGCCAAACACATTAACAATATCAGAATGAAACGAACTTAACGTTAACACTAGCACTACCGGAAGGGTCACAGTGACTCCTTTTAATTTTGAATTGCCAAATGAACTATCAAAATTTTTTTCTACCGACCCGCCACTTTTTGACTTTTCATGGGTCACAAAAATACGCTTTGACACGAAAAATCAGGAATGTGCGTCAAAAACTTTAGGAGATACTATAACATATACCTCACCCTACCGAAGGGGTCATTTTGACCCCTGTATTAGTTTTCGATAGGGCTTTGATGGTTTTAGCGTGCGTTTTTCAGCTTAAACCTTGCCAGTGTTGTTCTGTGTGGTAAGTACTGACGTCCACTTGGCCGTGTGACAATTTTGAACCTCTATCAGTATCGGTAGGAAACCAGCACATCACAAAATCATGTTTTCCTTACATAATACTTATAAGCCATTCGCAACGGTTCTGTCGGCCTGAAAATGCGTTCCATGGCCGAACGGAGGTTAAAAATGTTAATAAATGGTCTATTACGACCGTTATTGCATGATATTTGTATACTATTTTATTCGCAGAACCTTAGTTTCAGAATTACTTACAGAACTTGCAGTGTCTACGGTTATTTGTCAGACTGAAATAAACACAGGCTATGCTAAAATGTTGAGAATTATTGTATTTGATTGTAATCCTATGCGATTTGCAAGAAACAAAACGAAAATTTGCAAAAAAAATCCGAAAAACTTCTGAAAAATTACATTTTGTGCTTTGCGGGTTGCCTTTCTACCCCCACACAGGGACCCCTGAAGGTCCAACAAGCAGGCCCGCCCTTCCGCCAAACGAAGTTGCCAGCTTC